CTTTTTGTCTCCCCCTCCTGATCGCTGCTTGTGTAATACCAAGGATAGAGTCCAGAGTGCTCTGCCCCCTGAGCCACATCCCCAGAGCTGCAGCCCTTGTTTTTAAAGAAAATTAAAAAAAAAAAAAACTTCTTTCTGGGCCCTCAAATTCCCTTAAAAAATAAAATAAAAATTAATCCGGAATCACAACCAGCCCCTTCTTTCCTCAAGCATACAGACTGCCTTAGTTAGGCTTTCTATCACTGTGATAAAACAAAAAGCAACTTGAGAGGAAAAAGGTTTCCTTCAGCTTATAATCCCATCACTGAGGGAAGTCAGGGCAGGAAGCCTGGAGGCAGGAGCTGAAGCAGAGGCCCTGGAGGAGGATGCTTGCTGGCTTGCTCCTTATGGTTTGCTCAGCCTGCTTTCTTACAGCACCCAGGACGGCCAGCTCAAGGATGATAAACCTTCCAGAGTGAGCTGGATCAGAGCCTCCTCCCCTATCTTCAATGAAAAAAATGTACCACTGGTTTGCCCACAGGCTGATCTGGTGGGGGCATTTTCTCAATTGATGTCCCCCTTCTGAAATGTATCAAGCTGACATAAATCTTATGGCTTCACACAGATATAAAGATTCAATCCCTTTCCCCGAGCTGAATACTACAACAGGGCATGTAACATCATAAGAAAGATTGGACCTTGTCAGGAAAGTCAAGAGCAGCTTCCTTGAAAAAAGATGGCCCCACTGACATCTTTGCAATAAGGAGATGTGGAGAACTCACTGTGGGAGAGAGCAGGAGAGGCAGTCCAAACAGCCAGAGCACGAATCAAGGTTCTAGGGCAGAAGGAATAAGGGACAGCCGGGAGGGAAATGACTCAGATCATGAGGCCTACAGTATGGTGAAGTGTTTCCGCCTGTCCTATGAGGAACATGAGCCTTTGAAAGAATGAAGGAGGTCTTGGCAGATGATCCAGTGAGGAAAAGCCCTAGCTATGCAAGCCTGAGGGTTTAAATTTGAATCCTCAGCACCTATGCAAAAATCTGGACATGTCTGCACTGGCCTGTAATGCTAGGATTGGCAGGAGGGGAAGATCCTGAGAATGCGTTGACCAACTAGTCTACCTAAAGGCTGAGCTTCCAGCTCAGCGAGAGACCATCTCTAGGCAATAAGAATGATACAAGGGGACTCTTAATGTCCTGCACTGGCCTCCATACATGTGGACATGGTTACACACACACACACACACACACACTCATCTCAGTAGGGTAAGAAGGGGAAAGTACATGGGAAAGTATCAGATTCCCATCTCAGCAGAGCCCCTCTAGCTACAGAATAACTAGCATCAGGAGAAGAAGCTGAAATACATGTAGAGGCATTCCTAACAGAGCAGAAATGTAGACTAGAGAGAAAAGCTGAGTCAGAGAGGTGGGCATGGCAAGGGAAGGGACCAAGGGAAGTGGGCGGGTGAGAAACGAAAAGGTATAACAGCCAAGACCAACAGGGCCAGGGAGAAGGAAAAGGAATGAGGGAGAGAGAGGGACTAAAGATGACTGCTGGGGTTCTGACCTGTGAACTAGATGAAGGTGAAGATCCCAGACAGGAAACTCGACATGGGGCCAGCTTGCTGAGGAAGATAATGGGATCTGTTTTGTCGAGTTGGGTTTGAGTGCCTGAAGGCATCTGGAGGGAGATCAGAAGCTGACCTGTGGGTCTGGAGCATACAGAAGAAGTGTAAAAGGAGAGCTAGGCATGTGTCATCCACGCACAGAACCACGGAAGCTGTGGACATGCAGAACTAAGCTCATAACACAGGAAGGCCCAGGATCAACCTTGCAGGCTCAGCACTACATGGTTGTAGAGAGGAGGCGTCTACAAAGAGACAGAGGCACAGAGTAGAGAAAGCAGAGGGAAGGAGATAGACCCAGAGGGAGAAAACCAGCCTGAAAGCCAAGGGAAAAATGGTGATGGGGAGACAGATAGAGAAAGGCCGGAAAAGAGAGATTGCAGTAAAAACAGTGACAATAATCCTGGCTAATCCTTATGGAGCACCAGTTATGAACTGGGCATTTTTTAAAAACCAATGAACAACATGAGATTTTTAAAAATATGTTTATTTATATGAGTACAATGCAGACACACCAAAGAGGACATCAAATGGCATTACAGAAGGTTATGAGTCCCCGGTGGTTGCTGGGAACTGAACTCAGGACCTCTAGAAGAACGGGCAGTGCTCTTAACTGTTGAGCCATCTCTCTAGCCCCCAAATGGGCATTTTAACATATAATTTAGGGTTAAGGGTGTAGCTGGCTTAGCAAACTCAAAACTCTTGAGTTTGTACTGCAAAACAAACAAAAAAGTAAAATATGATTCTATAATGTAGACCCTATATCCTCAGTTTTATAAGTCAGAAAGTTGAGCACAGAGCGTATGTCTTTGTCTGAGGTCAGGCAGCTAGTGAGTGATACAGTTGTGGTGGGCACTCCCCGTGGCCCTGTCATCAGGCACTGCATGAGTAATGTTAGGATAGAATACAGCAATAGGAGTTGGAGATTTTCCCCTCTAGAAATTTTGATTCAGTCAAGGAAATCCTCCATTGGGCCACAGCCAAAGATTAGGGTCAGCGACTATGGACTAGGTATTGTAGTCCTTATTTTTGATAGAATTGTTTAGCTGGTAGGGCAGTATGAACAAGCAGTGTATGTCTGGGCTAGCCTTGGGAAAGGCTGGGCCAATGGCCTCTAGGGCAGAGGTTCTCAAAGGATAATCACTGGGCTGACATCATCACCTGGGAACGTGTTAGAGAGGCAGAGATTCCGATTCCAGAGCAGAAGCAGTGTGGACTGCAAGGACCCTGTTCCCAGGAGCCTCCAAGTGATTCTCGGGCCAAGGTTTGTTCTTGGAGGAATCATTTTTCTGTCCTTTAAATTAAGTTTTAGTGTACAAAATAATAGGCGTCAAGAAGGGGTTTGCATACACATATATCACTGGATTTTACTAATATTTGGCCCATTGTCTCATCTCTTGTTAGTCCTTTTCCTTCCCCAAATGGTTACACACACACACACACACACACATACACACACACACACACACACACACACACACACGATTCACATATACTGAGTGAAATCTAGATTCTAATATTAGCAAAAACTTAACATTTGACTTTTTCCCCAAAACGGCTGTTTTAGTTTTATTTCTGTTGTTATGATAAAATTTCCCAACAAACAGCAACATAGGGAAGGAAGAGGCTCATTTGGCTTATGACTCCATGTTACCATCCATCACAGCAGCGAATTTACAGTGGCAGGAGTGTGAAGCCGATTGCGGTGTCCACACTCATGAGCAGAGAGAGATGAGTGTGTGTGTGTATCTGTGTATGTGTATCCGTGTATGTGTGCACACATGTGAGTATGTATGTGTGAGTGTGTGTGTTCATGTGCATGTGAGTGTGTGTATCTGTGTATGTGTGTGCACACCTGTGAGTGTGTGTGTGTGTGTGTGTGTGTATGGTCTGAGCACTGTTTGTCTTAAAGACTCAGAAAAGGGAAGGACTGCTTATGAGCATTCAGCCAGGCAGTAGGAGCTTCTGAAGACAAATCGATGCCCTGGGCGGGGTCAGGGGACAAGGGAGGCTTAACGTGTGAGGCAAATAGAAGAGATGTTCTACCTTGGGCCCTCTGTGAATGCCACTAAATGGACCTGAGGTAGAGGTTAGTATGTGCTTTCAGCCAAGGAGATGCTAGTAGTGAAGTAGACATGCTTCATGACTGAAGAGCTATTTAGGTTTGTTTTGCCCTCTCTTAGGAGGAAGTGATGTCCTCTAGGAAGCTTCTTTAGAATACATTTCTATGTTAGGAGTGTATATGGGAGCCGAGCTAAGGATTTTAGTTCAGGTGGTAGACTGATCCCCAGCATAGCATACAGCAGGCATGGCAGTATGGGGGGGGGGGTCAAAGTTCAAGATCATTCTTGGCTTCATAGCAAATTCTAGGCCAACCTGGGCTACATGAGAGGGAGAGGAAAGGGAGGTGGACAAGATACCTTCTGTCTCTCTGGCCTCTCAGACCTCTATTAACTAGCCTCCCTCTGAGCTGGTCTTTTACTGCTCCTATGCAGTTCACTCTGTTCCCCGGCTCTTTCTAGATGCCTCCCCAGCTCCCTAATCCAGACAGCATCCTGTACCTTCACCTTGCTCAGTTCCCTTTGTGTTTCCCCACTCTGCCCATTCGAAACTCTCCCCTTGACTGTAGACCACCAGACAGCACAGCCAATCCCTTCCCGCACCTTCCCCAGACAGCACAGCCTAGCCCTTCCTGCACCTTCCCCAGTTCTCGGTACAACACGCCCCGTGTGATCTCCTTAGGAAATGATGGGCTATGTACAGTGCGTTCAGGCTCCTTTCTCCTCAAGTCACCGTGGAGGCGGATGACGGGCTCTCCTCAGTGGTAGAAACCCTAGAACAATGGTGGTTCTCAACCTGAGGGTCTTGACCCCCTTGGCAAATGTCTGTCTCCCAAAATATTTTCATTATGATTCATAACAGTAGCAAAATTAAAGGCATGCAGTAGTAACAAAAATAATGTTATGGTTGGGGGTGTTATGGTTGGGGGTCACCACAACATGAAGAACTGAGTTAAAGAGTCGCAGCATTAGGAAGGTTGAGAATTACTGCCCAAGAGGGGACATTGTTCAGAGCCTCAAGGGAATCAGCCATGGCAACCATGACTCTTTGTTGCTGTTTGTTTTTATAAGATGCCTTACAGGTCATTTCACATTAAAACATTCTGAGATTCCCAGAGCTATCCTAACAAATTGCTACAAGTTTAGTAGCCTCAAATAGTGGGACATATTCTGTCACAGCTGTAAAGGCCAGACGTCTGAGGCTAGTGTTAGTAACCTGGGCCAAATCAGGTTGTCAGTGTCCTAGGCCACTGCCCTCAGAGACTTCCTTCTTCCAGTGAGTCCCAGTGGACCGCACTGATGTGAGTTAAGTAGCATTTTCTTTTCTCCTTCCAGGACCGCCTTTTTTTCGTCATGGAATATGTAAATGGTGGAGACCTCATGTTCCAGATTCAGCGGTCCCGAAAGTTCGATGAGCCTCGTTCTCGATTCTACGCTGCAGAGGTCACATCTGCTCTCATGTTCCTCCACCAACATGGCGTGATCTACAGGTAGCCTCTTCTCTCTTCCCTTTGCTAGACGCAGAAGCAATGACTTCTCCAGATAACTTGAACTACTGCTGGCCCATGCCCAGCTGGTCTCCCAGCAACTGGCCTTAGCTTAGCTGTTTGTTTCAATTTGCATACAGAAGAACGAGGTGGGGTGGGAGCATGAGGGTGTTTATCACTATGAATGTCAATATTTGAAAGGCCCCAGAAGATTTGACCTGCTGTTTGTGTCCATTTTGATTTAATGCTCAAGTATGACATTTAAAGGCTTGGCTCTGTGTGATCTTAAGGTCACCTTCATTGCTTGGTCCCCTCCACCCTCTTCCTCGAACATCAGGGCATTCTCTTAGCTTTTTCCTCCTGTGCCACAAGCTTCCTCCACTTCCTGAGTTTGTTTGGCTTAGTTGTATCCAGTCAGTAGACTCTGGGAAGGGCAAGTCCTGTAGAGGGCTAGAGGTTTACACACCAGGGGTGGGGGCGGGGAGTGGGAACTAGACATTATCCAACAGGAAGTGACTTTTTTCAGATTGTCCAGTTTTTTATTTATTGCTAGTAGTCCAGTCCCTTTCCAACACACACACACACACACACACACAGACACACACACACACATGTTTTCCAGTAAAAGAACAAAACTCTTTACGCAGGCTTTTCTGTGAGGTCAGGAATTCTGGGAGGAAGGCGTAAATATTTATAATTAGCAACAAGGATACTAAAGTCCCTGAAGGTTTTTCCAATAACGTCCATTTCTTTACTTAGTCTTTGCTTTTCCCTTTTTTAAAAATTGCATGGAAGAGGAGCTAGCTTGGCTTAGGTCAAAGTCAGGCTTGCACCGCGACATGTCTGAGCTGCTCTGGGAGCAGCGTCTTGACTTTATATTCTTTGAAAGGTTCTGGTCAAGCCCACCACAGCCTCCCCTCCTATTATCCTCCAGGTTTATAAAGCCAGGGATGTGGAGGGATGGGGTTGAGGGGAGCCAGTGCTTCCCTGTGGACCATACTCTAACCCAGTGATTCTCAAGCCTGAGGCTGTGACCCTTTAATACAGTTCCTCATGTTGTGGTGGACCCGAACCACAAAATTATTTTCATTGCTACTTCACAAATGAAGGGTCTCTAGCCAGCCCAAACATGACAAGCTGGCAGGCCTTGCCCTCTTCAGTTCCCTCTACCTTGCTAAAAACCACTAAATTACATTCCTGAAGCTAGCCACCAAGGTCAATTCCCTTACTTGTCCACTTCCTCCTCCTGAGGCTGACTACCAAGGTCCAGCTATCAAGTATTAAAGTCCAGCAATCAAAGCCCCCTTTGGCTCAGCTAATTAACATGCCCAATTAAAATCAAACTCCTCATCCTAACATGGTTTACCCTTGTACCTTTGTTAACCGCTATTTGCCTATGGGTCACATCTGTCTCTTCTCTATCCAGCAGCTGACCTTTGTTGTCCAGTCCCTTTTCTGGTCTTCACTTTCACCTCCACTCCCAACCTTACCCCAGGACAAACATTCCTTCTCCTCCCTGTTCCTGTCCCCTTCTCCATCCTCCTCTGTCTCCTGACTTTGTCTCTTATTCTCTATCCTTTTTCTCTCTGGGGCAATCAATCTCCTTTGTGCTGAGAACTTGGTTTGGGTGTGTCTTGTGCCGATACTGGTCCCATCAATAACTCTTAATTTTGCTGTTATGAATCCTAATGTAAATATTTGATATGCAAGATATCTGATGTGTGACCCCTGTGAAACAGTTGTTCAACCCCCAAGGGTGTTATAACCCACAGGCTGAGAACTACTACTCTAGCCTGTCCTGTGGGGATCCATATTTGTGTTGCTGTCTGGCCTGTTCCACACAGCCTTGGAGTCTGGGCACAAATCCCTCATCCATGCCGCATGCTCAGGGTCTTGCCTTGCTGTGTTGAAAGTGAGCAAAGTCAACTTTTGAAGTCTGGGTTCTCTTCTAAAGATCATTTGCGGATTGACAGAACTTTTATTCTGGAAACTTTAGAGTTTGTGAGGCTTACTTAGGGCCAGCTGGAGAGAAAAGCTTCCTTCTCAGACTCTCTAACCTCAGAGAGGGACTACAGCCTCGTCTCAAGGGCTAGTGGGCCCACTCAAGGTAAAGCCCTTAGATAAGTGCAAAGGCAAATTTGTGTAGATCTTTAAGAGCTTTATGTTCCTGGTGAACATAATGGTGCATACCTGTAATTCCACTCAGGAGTCTGGGGCAGTAGGATCACATGAGTTTAGGAGATTAAGAACAGCCTATTAGAAACCACATGCCTTTGGTATAATGGTACCCCAGTAAACTTCCTAATGAATTCTTATGACTGTTATCAGGCTTTATTGGGATTAGGCTAAAGTTGTTAGTACACTTATAAAAGGCTGCTATGGCAACACTAAACCTACGTGGTCTCTTGTCTATTAGTTTGGTTTGAATTATTAATACTATCTTGTAGACTCAGGGACGTAGCTTGTAGAGGAATTCTTCTTCTTGTTGTTGTTTTTTTTTTCGAGACGGGGTTTCTCTGTGTAGCCCTGGCTGTCCTGGAACTCACTCTGTAGACCAGGCTGGCCTCGAACTCAGAAATCCGCCTGCCTTTGCCTCCCAAGTGCTGGGATTAAAGGTGTGCACCACCACCGCCCGGCTTGTATAGGAATTCTTAAAGCTGAAGTTGTATTTGACTGTGTAACCTATGAGCAAAATATATCTATCTGAGATTGTAGTCAGTGGGTCCCAAAGCCTAGCCGCATTAAGAGTTTATGGAGGGTGCCTGGCATCACAAATGACTGACACTTCCAGTGCTGCCTTCTTCACACTGCCAGTCTTGGCAAAAACAGGCTTGTATTTTATTTTACAACAACTTCTGCCTAATTCCGCAGGATTGCAAGTAACTTTTTAAGCGTTGTGATTACTTATTAGTAATAACAGGGCTGATGGAAGTTTACTAGATCACTGGTTATAACTTGGGACAAAAACTGCTACATTGACTTTCATCTCGCCCAGAGTGCTCGAGGCTGGTATGTTCAGTGGATCAGGAATACAGTTGTCTTTGTGAATTCCTACCCATTGCCTGTCTCAGTGAATGTGGAAATGGCCGCCTGGGTTTTCCCATTTCAGGATAGCCACTGGGAAGCACCTATATTGGCTGAAAATTGAGAATGCGAACATTCCGTTCATTAGTCTGATCAAGCTATTAATGAATATTTAGACTGTAGCTCAAAATATGAAACATTTTTGTTCAATCCATATTTGTCTTGCACATTATAAATATATTTTTATTTTTAGTAATGTAGGGGGTGGGGAGGGAAATAGGAAAGCAGCTGTGACAACCTCCAATCAGTTTACTTCATTTCAAACCTATTTCCAATCACAAGGAAAGATTTCTTTAAGACACAGTTGTACATTTCACCTGTGGATGTTTCAGTGTCATCCTCAGTATGTCCCTAAATTTACTGGTATTGAAAAGGACAAAACATTATACTGGTGAGTTTTTCTACTAATTATTTTTTAAAGTGTTATTTTCCCAACACAAAAGAGCTTTTTTTCTCAGTATAACAAAAATTCAAATCTTAGTGTGTATTCAGTAGCAAATAGACAAATTTTTATTTTTTATTTCCACTTGAAGAGTTACATTTCGTATAAAGTTTACAAATAAAGGTTTTTATTTTGATTTTTTTCAGTATAAAAAGTTGCCTTGATGGCATATTATGATGTAATGCTAATTGCTTGTAGCATAGTTGATTGTCAGTATTGAATCCTAACCTCTAGCTGCCATCTTGTAGATATGGACAAATGTCACCAAGCATGTGTTTCAACATTTTGTTGCATCGTTCACTGCAACTAATAAGCCAAGGAATCGACATATATTAGGTGCCTGTACTGTTTCTAAAAACCACAAACCAAGAATGATAAATTATCAATATAGTTTAGTATTTGCTAATTTTACTACACTCTTTTGTTATGTATATGTAGGGAAGTCATAGGGATTATAAATTCAACTTGAGTAAAGTTTAAAACCACATATTTTATAATAAAGGGCCTTTAACTTAAGGTGGTCAAAGCACTGATATTATATATTTGCTGTAAAGAGAATTATAAGAGTTTTATTTTTCTGATACTAAAAGTTACTTAATAAAGACTTGTTTCCATTAAAAAAGAAAGAAAGAAAGAAACCCCATGCCTTTGCCACAAAGCATGTTGTCCTCTCAGTAGTGACATCATATTATTGTCTTCTTCGTGTTATGTTGTGTCATTTGGTGGGCAGGGGAGGAAGCATACAGAATGTATCTCCCTAGAGCCACCTTCAGTTCTGCAGGCTGCAGGCCAATGGTGCTGTCTCTCCCTCCTTCCTCAGAGCACACTGTTCTGAGCCATCAAGGTGGAGAGCTGTCTCCACAATATTCTGATTTACTAGTTCCTGCCTTCCTACCCTGTCCCACAAAGGCTTTGGTCTAGAAACCTGACTGGGGATAGCAAGGGACTGAGGAAAGCACAGATTCCTGTACTGAGAAGCTGGTGCTGGGTGGGCTGTGTGGGCTCTGACATAGCTGCATCAGCTACTCTACTGAGCTCCTCCAGAACCTGCTAGCTGGTCTTGGTAGAAAGTGTCTGCGGGTGAGCAGTCTCAGGCTGAAGACATCCTGGAGGAGAAACTTACAGTGGCTAGTTTTGTGCACACTGGTCAGTTGTTTGTGAACAGTGATCATTCACTGAGGAAGACTTTGCCCAATTCCTTGCTATGGCTGTGTCTGTGTCAACAGTACACACTCGGGACTTCCTTCCATCCTTTAAATTCAATCAGGGCATCCTTGGCTCCCCATACCTTCCTCAGTTAATTTCAGGGGCCTCTAGCCATTTCTCCTGTCTGAATGTTTCATGTGCTCACAGGACCTTGGTTGTCCTTGAACTTTCAACCTTATCATCATTTCCCTTAACCATGTATCCTGCCCTCTAGGTAATTCAGATTATACCCATTCCATCCCCCAATGAATCGTCTTCATCAGAGGCTCCT